CAATGATTAACCAGATGGAACATTGTGGGTGTGGTGTATGAATGTTAACACTCTGTAATAATTCTTTAGTATATTACTTATGTGGTGTAGAAGATAACTATCTATGTAGAGATACTGCTTGCAAACCAATGATGTAAGATGATGTCATGGGGTAGGACTGGATAAGTCTGACTTCTTCCTACTCCATTCAAGCATGTACTAGGTATAAGCAAATTGATATTGGATTAGCATTTGTTGGATATGTGTAAAATTATGTGTGTTGACATATCAACTGTCTTTACATGCTTGAAAGAATAAATAAATAAATACATAAATCTCATAGAATCAGCAATCCTGTATTGTGAAAATGATGAAAATACTCCACCAAGCGTGTGCACGTTTCATAAAAATTTCATTGCGGACACAGACTGTGACTCATTCATTACACTAACCATCGTGATTTTAAAAGCCAATGGAATTACCCTGAATTATGAAAACCACACTGCAGTTAATTTTGACTCTCTCACTGGTAGAGGGCTACAATAATCAGACACTGCAGCCTGACATCCTGGTCCCCCAGCATAAAATTATGAGGGAGAAAATTCAGGCTATGTCCTGAGAAATCTGACATTAAAGAAGAAGTTCAGAGTGGTTTATGACAAATGGAGGCTGATGGCTGATGGAGCAACATTGCCTTTTGCTTACTGAAAAAATGGCTCAGGAAATGACTTTTTTGGTTCAAAACATTTTGGAAACTGGATTATGTGTAACATTATGAGTACGCGAGCAACACCAGTGTGACCCCAGACCAGCATATCTGTTGTCTCTTCCTGATCTGGGGGCATTGCTGTAACTCTGGGCTCCTGTCTACTCACCTCCTGAGATCATCAACAATGCCAATCTGAGCCTTCTCCAACTCACACATGAGTTCCCTCATTGCCCGATCCTCTGGTGCCTCCTTGTCATCCTCTACTTACCTCACGTACCCATCCTGCCAGTTACTCCTCTCTCCCTCTCTGTCTTGCTTTGTTCATCTGTGAGGACCTGGGTCACTGGCAGCACAGCCTCACTCATCAGCGCACTGCACTCCACTCTCCAGTGCATCCCAGGACCTCTGGCTGAACTGGTTTTACTGCCAGGTTTCGCTCACCAGTGCACTCCAGGGTCCTGGAACACTCCAGCTCGTCTCTGCCACCTGTTCCTCCGACCTGCCTCAACCTGTTTGACCTCCCATCTTCGCCACCTGCTCCTCCGTCCTGCCTCAACCTTCTCGAAGTGCCTGTCTGCCAGCTCCAGACTCTTGCCCAGTATACCTATCCCTGTCAAAACACCCAAATAAAATCTCTGTTCTGTATTGTGTCATGACCTGCCTTCTGAGTCCTATTTTGTCCGTATCTTTCTAAGTCTGACCCACCAGTCCTAACAAATTAACATGTCTCTTGACAATACGAGTCACTTTAAAATAATTTTTTTATATAATTATCATCACCATATAAAGCAATCACATCTTTAAAACTCAATCCTCTTGCCCGATGAAACAAATAAAAGGCGTGGTGCAGGCCATGCAGCTAACATCACATCCTGAATTTTATTATTACTGTACAGGATTTTATCAGAATGAAGTTTTAAATACAGTACCTCAGTATAGTCTCTGGATACCTGCCACACTGAGGTGCAAATCCAAATGAATCAAAGAATGTGGCTGTTTTATCACACTCCAAAGTAATGGCTAGCCAGTGAGCTCCAGTTAAATAAATGGGTCAGTTAAAAACTTGTGGCAGCATATCATTAGGCCACACACTGCAAAACCGATCTCTAATCAGTTTTTTCATCAGGTGTTCCAGCTTGCGATTATTCATTTTTTATGTGTTTGTCACACCCAAGTACATCAGTTTCCACATTGTGTTAGTCAGCCATTATCTGCCTCTTTGCATTCACTTTGGGTATTGACAGTGTGGCCGCGCACAAAATGAGAGTCGCAGCATGAGGTAATGGCTCCCGAAATCTAAGCTCCAGTCTCGAATTTCTGTTGTTTGCAGGGGACAGACAATCTGTGTCTTAATCTGGTTGTAAATTGAACAAGAATAGGGTGTACCATGCTCATAATCTGTTCTGGAAATGGGCAGTCTTTCATATGGCTGCCCGTAGCTTGGCAGAGGTTATAATATTCTCATGCCTTCAGAGGTTCAGTTTAAACAGAACACTCATATAGGCATACACTACAGTCAAATGATTAGTAATATAAAAACTCTTTGACGTGATACCCCCCCAAGTCTGCCCATCCATTCCCATGGGAAACCCTAATTTTATTATACACCCAGCTGCGATTGTAAACTTAGATTACCCGGAAATAGGTATGAAATATGTGTCGTCGTAACCACAGGTGGTCAGAAGTATGAGTCATGCCGGGGTAATAAAACAATCAAAGGCCATAAATCAATGGATTTGACAGATACTATATTCTTATGCTCTCTCTTACCCCTTCTAGGATCCTTTGTTCTGCAGAGAAATTGCTCGTAAATGTTCCTAGATTGAGATTAAAAATAAAAGGGGACGATGCCTTTGAAATAGATGCTCCCAAGTTATTGAATGGTCCATCTCTCTGTATTAGACCTGAATCTACACTCACAGCTATTAAGTCTCCATTAAAAATGTATTTGTTTATCATGGTTTATAAATGAAACGGAGAAGCTTATACAGTGGTAGTGGTGGTAGAGTGAGGGTGGGGGTAGCAATGCAGCACTTTAAAATGATGAATTATCATTGTAGATGTGACCTAAAGCTCAAAAATGAGGTGAAAATATGTTCTAGCATTTCTATGCAGAAGCAACTCGGTTTATACACATCTTGCAAACTCTCGCTCATGAGATTTTTTTTTCTAACAAAATTAAGTATTACGTGATAGTTTCAGGATTTCCTTGAATGCTCATAATCTCCAGGCCATGGAGCGTTCATGTGAGCTTGCCTGACATCCACCGGTGCCATTGTAAAAGTGGAATTTTTGACTGTGCCCGGTTTTTTGGATATATTTTCCCTCCTGCTGCTGCACTGTGACCAGAGGATGTGTAGAAAAAAACAAGGCCTGAGGTTACTGCATGTCCAGGAATGTCCACTGTTTTACCTGACTGGCTCTAACCTACAATTAGCCGGCCAGTGCACTATATGTAGGGCTGGGTATTGTTTGGGTTTTTCTGACAATGGTGCTAAACCGATACATTTAAAATGGTGCCGGTGCATAAAAGGTACCAGAACAGATACTTTAAAAAAAGAAAAGAAAAAAAAGCATAAAACCAGGCCATACATTTCCTAATTTGAAGGGCAAGGCCATTTGGCTTTCAATTTCATACATTTTCAGAGGGCACAAAGGCCACTTGTCTGAGCATTAAGGCTGAGACAAATAACATATATGTGATATATACTGTATGTGCACATAGCTTTTATGTACACATCCTGAGCAGTAAAGTTACAAACTAGAGTAAAGTGCAGATTGTAGAATGGTTAAAGAGAAATATGTAGAGAGTACTGTGCACCTTTTTTTTTATAATTTTGACACTTTGACAGTTCTTTTAACACAAGACTGTTACATCCCCAGTGCAAGAAGGAGCGTTTCTGTAGGTCATTCCTCCCCACAGCTATCAAGACTGTACAATACATCACTGCAGTGATAAACTAGGTGAAATTTTGTGGGACTATGTACGAAATTATGAGGGACTATGTAATAGTCTACTGAGGTGCAATACTCAAATCCTGGGGGTAAAAATGCATTGTAAATATGCACATATGTAAAAATCTTGTTCTTGATTTCTCTCGAATACTTTATATTGTCTTGTTTTAGGTATTTTTGAGTAGTTTTTCAGAGATCCTCATGGCTGAAATACAGATATTTCCCCCATTGCTGGAGTAATTATGGGAGTAATATTCTTGTCCTTGATCTCTTGAATATTATATTTTGTCTTGTTCTTAGGTATTTTGATTTGTTCTCAGGGATTAATTGTGGGAGGATCATTCCTGTTCTTAATTGTCTCTCAAATACTATATTCTGTCTGGTTTTAGGTCCTTTGAATTTGTTACTCAAGATATAGTGTGGTGTTTGTTCTTATGGTGTTTTGTTGCTGCTCTCTATTGCTGCTGGAACACAGGAATTTCCCCATTGTGGGATCAATAAAGTCCAACCTACCTACCTACCTATACTACAGTCTATGTGTAAAATAATTTGTCCTTACTTTGTTTTTTATTACATCCTTAAGTTTTATATTTACACTGTAAAGCTGCAACTGCATTTGTAGTGTTAAACTATAGTCAGTGCAACATGGAAAATTCAATTTAATTTAAATGGTTGGAACAGCAACTTTGTTTAAAACATTAATATGCATATTAAATATGCAGGGCTACTGTAAGCTAAAAGCTGACACTAACTACTTCTCCTTTCCTCCACAGCTCCTTTATCTCTTACACTATGGCAGTGATTGCTGTGAACTTTGTGGTGCCGCTGTCTGTCATGTTTTACTGCTACTACAATGTGTCAGCCACTGTGAGGAGATACAAAGCTAGTAATTGCTTGGACAGCATCAACATTGACTGGTCAGATCAGATGGATGTCACCAAGGTAAAAACTGAGTCATTCCAGGCTCATTCTTCTTTCTACTACTCTGTTGCATGCTACTGCAAGTGACATGCAACATTTATCTAGGTTATTATTTCTGTACCGGTCCGAAGCCCAGATAAATAGAGAGGGTTGTGTCAGGAAGGGCATCCGGCGTAAAACGTGCCAAATTTAAACATGTGAATCGTCAGTGTGAAAATGATGAGCCACACAATGAAGCTATGGGAAAGA